TTTGTGTTCTCCCTTCTGCGACTCGCTGGGTACTTAAATCCCCTTTGGCACGTTAGCAGGGCTGTCCAGGCACTTTGCACTTTGTTTCGTAAGTGAATAAGTGCTTTTCTTTTCTCTGTGTATTGAGTTGCTATTGAATTGCTTCCCATATTTTTATTTCATACAAACTGAACAATTGTGGCCCCTCTATTTTATTTATAAAGGTTCAGTGTATCTTTGCCTGCCTACATCAATCTGCAAGGGAGTTGCAGAAAAGCCTCATGTTCATCGAGCCGTGAGTCACAACCAATTTTTAAAGCTGTTATAACAAAAAAAAAAAGTGTTTGCTTTTTTTTCACAAGTAACTTTAAAAGTGTAGCTTAGAAAGAAAAGAAAAATTAAAAAAAAAATTCAGTAGACACAACATTATTCCTGGATGCTTGTGAATCCTAATACTTTACTATTCCCATACTTTAGTATTACACATACCTGTGTCATATGCACAGATGAGCTTTAAAATTGTCACATACCATTGCCACTTTGCCTTTACTTTTATGTATCATTCCCCTGACTTCCTTACTGCAGGTGTGGGCAAGAAAGCTTTTCCTTTAAAACTTTTCAACAATGGGCATAAAATTCTGCAGCTGAGGTCTTGAAGAATGCAGATGGGTATAGTATGTGTTGGAGCTCGCAGTGTGTATTGACTAACTTTGTTTCTTTTTTTTTTTTTTCTATTTTTTTTTTTTTGCTTTTCTGATATTGTGTCGTTTTAAGTGGCTCCTGAGTGTAAAATGTCCTCTGAGGGTGGGCTGAGGGTGGGTGTGTTCCAGGCCAAGATCACCTTTGCACGGCCTGGGAAGAGCACACTGCATAGTTGGGTTCCACACCAAAAGGACTGGTGGCTTAGTTACCACGTGAGCAAAGAGCAGCTGCCTGTAAAAACTGCCCAGCACAGCCCTGTTTGCTGATCCGTGGGGTTTGGTATCTCCTGCCCCTTCCTCACAGCAAAACAAAAAAAAAAAAGGGGTGGAAAAAAAATTAGCAGTTTTTGGCTGGGAGCCAGCCTGTCTGTCTCCTTTTCTCTCTTCTGGCTGTGCTGCCTCTTTATATGGATGACAGGCCTTGGACGTTGCTTGGCTCGCCAGCACTGTGTTTAACATGGTGTCCTGGATGAATAAATGCTAAAACAGTGTTTGTTGCCAATTATAAGTGTTCCAGAATATCCTGTTGCCCTCTAAGCTGGTTTGGTTTTTTTGTTTGGTTTTTTTTTTTTTTTGAGTAAATTTGGGGAGCAGGAGCACCAAGTACTTTAATCTGCATTTTGAGGTGAAATGCTCGTGCCCACGCCTGTGTTCCCTTGGTGTTCTAATGTCTCCTTATTTAAACCACACATGAATTGCAGGAGATGAAACCAGACAAAGGGTGAAGTTTACAGACGATCGTGTTTGCAAGAGCCACCTCCTGGATTGCTGTCCCCACGATATCCTGGCTGGAACAGTAAGTATGGCCTCTGTCATAAGGAATTCTGGTGGGGAGGATGTTGGTACATCTCGTCTGGGCAGAGTGGGTGACTTCTAGGAGAGAGCAGTCACAATCCTAATTCCAGCTTTTGTGAACCGTGTATGGAAACTGCTGAAGTCAGGAGCTCTTAAGATACACTTGAAATGCTTTTCCCCTCACAATCCCATGTGAAGTTGTAAAATTCTTTCTCTTTTAGCAGTTTGAGGTGGTCAGAGCCTAAAACTTGTCCTGTGGTGGTTCCCAGACTGTAGGTCGACTGCTGCCCTGGGTGCTCTAGTTCACTGTTGCATCTTCAGCTTAGCAGGTGTTTTCTTAGCAGCTGCAATAGTCCTTGGAGGTTGTCAGTCTCCTCTCTCCAACCATGTGATGTTTCCTGATGGAACAGCAGCTATTCCATCATTCCTGGTGGGGTGGCCATGGCAGGTCACAGCTCCAGCCGAACGTGGGTTGTTTGAGCTGGTTGTTTTTTGTGTCTCTCTGCCCCACTGGTCTCACACAGTTCTCTCTGCTCCTTCACTGCTCCCTGTGGGAACAGGGCTGGCCAGTGTTCAAAGGTTTGGCTCACGTGCTCCCTCTGAGAGCACAAGGTGATGTGGGCTTTTAACAGTGAGGTGAGTGTTTCAGTTTGGGCTCCCAGATGAAAGCTGGGACTTGGGAAAGAAAACACTGCACGTCTTGTCCCCGTTGCTGTGTTACAGAATTCCAAGGCAGAGGTGAATGGGGGTGTTTGAAATCCACCCTCACCCTCAGTGTTTGCATGAAATGCTGTGGTGTTCCCAGTGCCCATCCACTTACCCAGGTTGTTTAAAGATGCTGTGGTTATTTATAGCCCTTCCTGCTGCTGTTTTGGGAGCTGGCTGGACACTGTGGATCTCCAGCAAAGGGCGGGCTGGCACTGCTGCCCTGCTTGTGTCACTGCCCTAGCAGGACTGTGGCAGCACTGCTAGAAAGAGCTAAAGCTGCCACTGCTCTGAGTGCTCAAACTTCAGCTTCTCAGTGGCTGCCTCTGAATAAGATTGGAAGAGCTGAATACCAGTCTCTGTGTATTGATTTTTTATTCATTTGAACCTCAGATAATGTTTTTCAGTGATTGCTCCATCAGCCTCCATATCACTTCCATTTCAGAATTTTAAACCTCCACCCTTCGTGTAGGTCACTGTGGTCAGGGTGTATTTTTTGACACAAGATTCTACAACAGTTTTTTGGGGCCCAGAGGGTGCTTTGAAGGGCCTTCTGCAGGTTTCCAGGAAGAGGGTAAATGGTGAATTGAAGGGGTTGAACTACGTGATGTGTGTGGCTGTGGGAGCTGGTGCCAAAGTCTGAGGTGTTCGGGTGGGTTATGAGTTTCCCAGGGCAGGGATGCACCTTGAGGAATCTGTTTCTCTTGCTTCTGGTGTTACTTGTCTTGATGGAGTTGTCCTTTCCCTCTTGCTGTGGAGTTTGTGCTCAGCAATTGCAAGAACAGGATGGAATAAAACTGCTCCTTCACAAGGTATTTTTTGGATCACTCAGGTGATCTTGTGGTGGCCTTGAAGTGGCTGTGGAGCTCTGCACTGCTCTCAGCCGGTTCCTGGGGGCAAGAAAAAGTATTGGTGCCCCAGATCTGTGTTGAAAGCACATGTGATGTCCAGAACAGGAACAACATTTCAGCTGTCAGCACTAGCAGCATGGAATGAAACTGAGCTGGAATGTGCAGGCTCCCCTCGTGATCCTGGGCAGCTCCATTGGCACCTTGTGGTGCTCTGCTCAGCTGGGTGGGGTAACACCCATCTCTGGGTGTATTGCTGCAGAAATCAGGGCCTTGGATCTCTTGGAAACTTCCAACAGATGCTCCAAGCCTTCTGGTGCTGTCTGTGTTGCATCCTCCCCCTGAAGGCATTGTTCCTGCTGCATCCTTTGTGTGTGCAGACATTCCTTGGTGGGAGGCTGATTGGAGGCGAGCAGGAAGCTGATCTCTTGGGTAGCTGTGCTCACTGAAATGAGTCCCATTCACTGACCTTCAGGTGCAGAGTAAGAGAAGGAGTCCAGGCTGTCAGTAAAGCTCTGGAATATTCCTGAGAGCTGCAGGAGGCCTGTTGATGTTGCTTTGTTCAGGTATACCAGTGTTCCTGGTCATAAGAGCTGTCATTATAAGTTGGATTGTTCCTGTGATTATTCTCTTTTTGGCTTCAGAAATTTGTTTAAACCTGTCACTAAATAAGCTACAGAGGTTCTCTAAACTAACTTACTAAACTAACTTCTCCCAAAATTTTCCTCCTTACATACAGAGACCAAAGAAAACCACTGTAGCTTATTTACAGCTGGTAATCCTCCTGAATTTCAGCTCCACTAAGAACTGGACAGATGAGTCTGAAAGCTGCCCAGGTTGAACATAGCTTGGAGGTTGCATTCAGGGAATTAATTGTGTCCCTGACAGGGGAATATGAGTGAGCTGAAATCTGTAGGTTTTAGAATTGTTTTGGGGGGGCGTCTGTGGTTTCCTTTTTCACTTGGGTGAAACTCTGCAGCTCTGATCACTATTAAAGAACCTTCTTTGTGGAAATTTCACTCTGTGGTGAGGTAGCAGTTCAGCAGAGAATATAAGAGATACCTCAGAATGTGGATTGCTCAGGAGATGTGAGCAGGACTAACCAGTGACATCTGAATGTCTTCAGTCTGTGGGTATGGGGGGTTAAATCTTCACTCAGGCTCTGCTGGTCCCCTGTGTTACAAACCAGCCAGTGTTGACTTGGAGCACGTTGTGATGTCTGTGGAAGGGCTGAGTGATGACAGCCCTCCCTGGGGTGAGAGGATGCTTTGAGGCAGAAGGGCTGCTGGTCTTACCTCATGTGAGCAATACCTGTGAAAATCTCCTTGCCTTAGAACGTCCCAAACGACATGGAGGAAGAATTGAGGTTTGTAAGCTGGTGAGACCTGAATGTGCTCCCCTTTTAACAAACAGGTGCACACTGTCAGCTCTTCTGAAGTTTTGGATTGGAGACCCTTCTGTGAAATGGGGTTAAGTGGCTCAGCTTGCAAGAAAAGTTCAGATAAGAATATTTGTGATCTGTGGCAATCACATCTAATATCATTAATTTCTCTCTGTTTTGGAAAGTGATCTCAGTCGAATGACCATGAGAATAAAAGATATGTCACATCATAGAAAGAGTTATTTTTGTGGTAAAATAACAGTAGCTCTCCAGCATTCTTTGAAGAGGCTTGCCTGAAGATGAACATGATCAAGCTCTGAAAGTACCAGCATGGGGATTTTTTTGTAGGCATTGAATTTCCACCATTTGAGCTCAGCAGGACTATTCTGGATGCAGTGTCTGTTTCTGTAGCCTGTGGCCTCCTTATTCTGGTAAATCTGAGCAAAATGAGAAAGGCTAAATAGTGGCAAGTCATCCAGAATTGGTATATTTTTGTCTAAAACAGAAAAGCTAATAAGAGATAACTGCTGCAAACCTGAATCTTACCTGGTGGAGTTTGCTTTCTTTGCTAAACACTGCTGTTCAAGTACATTGTTTCACATAAGTGTCCCCATAAGCTTTAGTTTGTGATGTTCCACAGGTATTCTGTGTTATTCCACTTTAGCTCTTTCCTGCAGCTCAGTAAGTTGACACTTGTTGTGTGTGTGCAGGTTTGGGCTCCTTGGAACTGGTGGTGACTGGGAGAGAAGAGGATGGAGGGCTGGGGTGTTCCTTGACACGTACCCTGCCATTCTTACTGTGGCTCACAGTTAGGGCTTTTGTTATTTTGGCTTTCAAAATGTCATATTCTTTCTCTACCATAAGAGAAATGTTCTTTGTTACAAATTGATAATGTTGAAATGCCATTTCTGTTTCGAGAGCATAATCGACTTGGGTTCATGTGGCTGTTAACTACTGGGTTGGGGAAAAAATAAATTTAAATAGCATTGACTGCAGTGGGAGGGAAGGGCAGCATGCAGGTCAGAGCTTTCTGGGAAGGGAGATGCTCTTAAATCTCTCATTAAATGGGCTTATTTGTAGGACTTAGCTTTGCTGGGCAGGCTTTAAAATGCCAGGCTGCAGCTGGGTGCGGGAAGGGGCTGGCTGTAGAATTAAGAGTCTGTTGTTGCTGAGCGTGGGGTTGTGCATTTCCACTGGCTGTAACCCCTGTTCCTTTAAGTCCATTTGTTGTTGATAGGAAGCATTGTTTCTGTCCTACAATTTTGTATCTTTCAATGTGTTATTGGGGCTTGTCCTTTCACAGATGTGCATTTCCAAGAGAGCTTTAAACAGGGTGCAGGTATGCTTTGCTTTGCTGTGGCTCCATGAGAGGAGACATTTGCAGTTGGTGCCGTGTTGAAGGAGACCCAGCTCCCTCACAGCAGTTTCTAAGGCTGTGCTATGACCTAAAGCAGGAGTAGGACTGGTCTTATAACATTTGGGGTGTGTTAATGTTGTTCCAGGAACACCTAGAAAAGGGGTTCTGGCAAGCATGTGTTTCTTCTGGCTAGTTGTATTACTGATAGGTTAGAAGGAAGCTCTTCCTAAAAAGACTTTATTTTGATGTGATGCAGTTGGCAAGAGCTAAGGATCTGCTGCTTGTTGCTATAACAGAGGGTTTTTGCATGAGTCTTCCTTTTTCTCTTCCACAGCGAATGGACCTGGGAGAATGTACAAAGATCCATGACTTGGCACTGCGAGCAGATTATGAGATTGCAAGTAAAGAGAGAGACCTCTTTTTTGAGCTGGATGTGAGTATGGAGAAGTTTTAGTTACTTTTGTGGGAAATGCTTCTTGAAGTTACTGAGCTGAGCAGTAGAACTCGGTGACCATTTCAGCTTATCATGGTGTTTGATGTGTGACCAGTGCAGGATGTGCAGCCCCTTCCTGACTGTGGGCTTGATTGCTGACTTGAAACTGTACAGGTAATTATGGCACTTGCCATCCCTCATTAGCTCAACTAGCTGGGAGGCTCCTCTGGCATTCCTTGCATCCCACACCTGCTGCTCTGTACCAGGTCGCTGTAACCTGGTACCCTGTCCCAGAAGGGGATTTAACATTAAAACCCTTCTGCTCTGTGGTTTTACTTTTGGCAGATTTAACTTTCTGTGATGGAACAGATCAAGGGGAAGAACAATTCTGTCTTCCCTTTTCATGTTATTCCTGTGCACTTGTTGCTCCTGCTCTGGAAATTCAAGTGCAAAGCAGTGTTGATGTGAGCATCCTGTGATGTGTCAGAGTCAAGGAACTGGGTCAGGTTCCAGGCATGGGTCAAATGTTCCTTGTTCTGCAAAGTGTCATTTATTGCTGTTTTTTTTTTCCCCAAAGCATCTGTTCTCGAGATTGTTTATGCATTACAGAGGGACTGCACCAGATGGCTGTTGGCTGTCAGGCATGGAGAGCATCTTTATTCCTAATTCTTTGTCTGATCATGCAGGCCATGGATCACCTGGAGTCCTTCATTGCAGAGTGTGATAGGAGAACAGAACTGGCCAAGAAACGCCTGGCTGAGACACAGGAAGAGATCAGTGCTGAAGTGTCTGCAAAGGTATTGGCCTCTTGTTAAACATTGGTTCTGAAAGTCTGTGTGGGAGCTGTGGTGCTCTGTTGTCTCTGACACCACTGATAATTGATGGTTTAGAATAGCAAATCCATCCCATGGTTGTTATCTCTTTACTTAGCAAATGCTCATGGAGTTTCCTCTTTGGGAACTTGCCTCACTGGGCCAATACAGGACATTTCTGAAGCTGATTTTGTGGACTCTGTACTGTCCTGTAAGCCAGAAACGTGCTGCTGTTTGCAGCAGAACTGATGATGTCCTCTCTATGCCCAGTTTCTCTCTTTGCCAGGTGTTGGTGACTGTTGTGATTGGCCCACCAATCCCTTTTGTTGGGCCTCTTGACTTTTGGAGATTTACGGCCATCTTGCAGCAACTGATTTAGTTAAACAGTATTTTTTAAAGAGAAGGGAGAAGTTTTCCTGCAAGCTTTATCAGGTTCTTGTCTTACTAAAAACTAACTATTCTCTTTAGGCAGAGAAAGTACACGAGCTGAATGAAGACATTGGAAAACTCCTAGCTAAAGCTGAACAGCTGGGAGCTGAAGGAAATGTTGATGAGTCTCAGAAGATCCTGATGGAAGTGGAGAAAGTCCGGGCAAAAAAGAAAGAGGCAGAGGTATGGCATTGGTTCTGTGGGTTGGAACAGGAGCCTGGGCTGAGTACATGTCACAGCTGGGCACTTCCTACCTCTACCCCTGTGTTGCCAGCACCTCCTTTCCCAGTTTCAGCCATGTGCCAGCAAGCAGTTGGCAGTGGATAAAAAGCTTTTTAGAAACTTTTCTCTAGTGCAGAGAGCTGACTGGGGCGGGGAGGGCTTTGTCCTCTGGAATATTTGGTCACTGTTCCTTTGCAGGGACAGACTGTCGGGCTTAGCTGTGCCCACAGAGCGTTTGTGTGGCACCTCCTTTGTGTGGGGGTGGGTTTTCATTCTTGAAAGCCATTCTTTACAGGGGTTTCCCTGGAGGGTTGTGACAATGCAAGGCTTCCCTGACACTTGTGTGGGTTTTCTTGCCTCCCTTTAGGAGGAATACCGAAATTCAATGCCTGCATCCAGCTTCCAGCAGCAGAAGCTGCGTGTGTGTGAAGTCTGTTCAGCATATCTGGGTCTCCATGACAACGACCGGCGTCTTGCTGACCACTTTGGAGGCAAATTACACTTGGGTTTCATTCAGATTCGTGAGAAACTGGATCAGCTGAGGGTAATCCTCTCTGTTTTAAACCTTCTCTTTGTAGTTTCGAAGACATTGAGCGCTTCTAATAAATTAATACAGAATTCTTGGCAGAGTGGTTGTAAAAGCTCAGAATCTTCCAATTGCAGAATCCCTGAAACTTCAAATGGAGCCTTTTTTAGCCTCGTCTTGGGTTCTGTTCTGTATTTTCTGGGTAACTAAATATCTACCCTCTGAATCAGTCAAACCAGACCATGGCTGTCATTTATTCCTTAGAGCATTGGTACAGTCACCTGTATTTTTCTTGTTGATATGGCTGAAATTTGTCAGTCTGAGGCCTCTTAATGAGACGTTGGAACTGCAGTTTCACATAGTGTGTGAACTGAAGTTTCATGTCAGCATAAAAGGTCTTGAGTAGCTGAAGCCATTAGGAGTTTTCTGAAGAGGTTTGTAATGGGTTGTGGCATGGGCCTTGCTTGCAAACAGAGACCTTTAGCCTGCTCTAGTAAGAGCTGTGATTCCTGTGCCTCCCTCAGTATATTGAGGTCAGTGCCTTGACTGAGGAAAATGAAAACCTTGATAGAGATCTTGAGTAGCACATAAAATGCAGTGAAATAGTTCTTTGTCTTGCTCTGGGAAGGGTCTCCCTGCAGATCACTGACCTGTGACTGTATGGCTGAAATATGATGTGGACTGTTTGGTTTTTGTTTTTTTTTTTCTAGAAAACAGTGGCAGAAAAGCAAGAGAAGAGAAACCAGGATCGTTTGAGACGGAGGGAGGAGAGAGAACGAGAGGAGAGGATGGGCAGACGGTAAGTGGGACCTGACAGCTGGCTTGTGAAGTTGGGTTTTAAATAGTCTGATTTTTCGTACCTTAGCGTTGCAGGAACACAGCATCTGCTGCTGGAGTAGCTGTTGGATGAGCTCTGGATACTGTATGAGCACCTTGAGATTCAGTTAAAGATGGAAACACATGCACAAAGCCCCACCACAGAGTGATTGTATGTGTATTGCCTCAACTTCCATTGTGTGTCTGAAAGATGGGAGCTCCCTGCAGTCTTCAGGCTTATACTGGGCTAGTCCCTGTCCTTGGGAATCTGAATATGGATAAAATACCCTCATCCAATGCATCTGAGTGGGAAAGTTCAAGATGAGTGAGGAGTAGGTCTGCTCAAAAGGGTCATGCAGAAATTCCCTGAACAGCCCTCCTCACTTCTAGTCTCGTAGGTGACAACAGTGTGGAGCTGGTATCCATGAGCTAAATGGGGGGCTGCCTGCCTTGCTCCAAAACTTTTCTACAGTAACAGTGAGGTGCTTTTGGCACAGCTTTGATATCCAAGAGATCCCAAGGTGTGACTGCTTCTGGTGGTTGTGGCCACGTGTGTCACCTTCTGCTCAGATGTCTGTAATTCCTGAGCAGTGGGAGTGGCTGGAACGTTGGTATTCTCAGGACAAGCTTTTCTGCTTCCTGCCAGCTGAACTGGAAAAACAATTTCTTCTGTACTTGAAGTGAAGAGGCACCTTGTGTGTAAACAGCTCAGTTAAACAGCCTGTGTGGGGAGGGTGGTTATTTGCAGGGCTCAGGCAGAGGAAGTGGCAGGGTGGGAATGCTGTTCTCGTTGTTACAACATCTCCTCAGTTACCGCATGTGTTTCTCTTCTTGTACTTCTTGCATCAAAAAAACCCCAACCTTCCTGCTTGTGGAGAGCTCCTTTTGACCTTTGGTGTCAGCTGAAGAGTGAGTTTATCTGAGGCAGATGAGGTTTGTAACTGAGTTGTGCTCTGAGATGGTGCTGGCTTCTGGCTATAATTAGTGGAAGTGCTGACAAATAAACACCGGAATGAAGCGGCTTGGTGATTTTGATGGAATGTGAAAGATGTAAACCCCAAATTGTTATGTATTATACATATTATTATATCACTTAGAGTGTTTTATATGGGTTTTCTCTCTGTGGGTTGCCTGGTGGGATATGAAGTGCCAGTTTGTGCTGCAGCATTCTGCTGAACAGCACCTTCTGGAGAGCCTCCCAATTTCTGGTATCCATGCAAGACTGTCAGTAATCCAGTTAAATTTGGGAGCTGCAGAATCTGGAACTAACTGATGAGTGCAGGAGTTCATCAAAAGGGACTGCTGTGGCTGCTGCAGTGGTCAGAGAGGTGGAAGTGAAATGGGAAGTGTCAGACCCACAGCAGGACTGTACCTGATCTGGACTCCGTTTGTCTCCGTGGTGCCTCTTCTTCCTGGAGGTCATTTCTGTGTGGAAATTGCTCAACAGAGTTGCCTTCAGGAAGAATCCTCTGGATCTCTTAGTTGATCTGCATCTCCCCAAAAACACTGCCTTTCTTCCTCCTGTGGTGTGTCTGGGGTTTTGGTTTTGTGGTTTTTAAAAAAATCCCCAAACCCTCAGTTCTTGAACGTTAAGGAGCCTTTTGTGTTCATAGGTAGTTCATGTGTGGATGCACCTGATGAGGGGATTTGAAGATGGCTTTTGAATGTTTATTTATGGCTTTAAATATGAAGGGCTTAAGAATGCATTGAGTTGGCCTAAAGTCTGAGTTCTGGCTGCTTCCATGTGTGACACTGCTTAGAGACCATGGCTGGCTCTGTGGGGAGGCACCTGTGTGCTCCCCTGCTCAGATACCATGAGAAAACTTGTTATGAAGGAGCCAGGAGTGCCATACAGAGGAGGTGAAATTAATTGCCTTTCCAAAATGAGAGCTTGACCCAAAGGAGGACAATAGTTTTCCCAGTGTCAGAACTTAGGTTGCATCCCAGATTTCCCAGCCCCTTACCTGCTGGGAGCTGTGCACACCATACTCACAGGGGCACTTCTCCATCAAAAACTGACTGGTGACTTCTACCACTTTTCAAACTGCCTCTTATCCAGAGCCTGATACTTTAAGGAACCAGAGGAAACGTTTCCTGCAGAACTCTTCTTGTCATATCCTCATGTGCAGCATCCTCAGGGTGTTACTCAGTAAGAGAGAGTGTGACTTGACTTCGGGAGTCTTTGGTGACTGACAGGCACTGTGACATACTCTGGGAACCTGTGGGTTCCCTTGTGAAACTCTGCCTCTCTCAGCTGTTATTAATTTGTCGATAAACTGTCATTCCACATAGGAATGAGTGAACTGGGTTGTCACACTTAGTGGTAAATAAACACAAGTGGTTTGTTTGGTGTTGCTGGCGGTGTTGGGTACCCAGTAATCTTGGAAGACTGGAATTCTGTGGAGAGGTGGCATGCTTGGAAGTGCAGCCCTCAGTGTTTGCCTCCAGGCTACACCAGCAAACAAGTCCAGTGGAGTTGCCAAATGGATTTCCTTTGTGTTAGGCTGCACAAAAGACAGATTATGAAACTCAGCACAAAGTCTGTGATACAGAGACCAGAAAGAGGAAAAAATAGAGAAAATAGACATGCTCAGCCTCTTGCTCCTCTGGACAGCATTCTTCTTTTGTCTCCTGATGATTCAGGCTAGTAAGAAAAGAGCTGTTTTGTTGGATACTTCCTGAAATCCAAAGTGTGACTCTAGGGAATGATTATCAGGAATTTTTCGTGCATGTTCCTGCTCGGATCATAGGCAGGGGAGGGCAGCCAGGCCTTTCAGGGGACGTGGAAGGGCTTTGTGAGGGATGTGCGCACTGGTGGTTCAGAATAAAGTGATCAGGACGAAAAGGACATTAAGAACTTGGAGTAATTGCAACCACCAAAACAATTCATCTGCCTGCCAGGCACCTCCAGGAGGTCCTGCTGCTCCGTCAGGTTTTGTTATAGGTGTGTGGTTATTGCCTTGCTCTCCTGGTTTATCAGCTTTTCCTTCACCTGGTCCTGTGTGTTGCCTCAATGCATGGCTCGTTTGCAGACTCCAAGTTCAGCTCCACCTTGTTTACAGTCCTACCTGAATTCCCCTCTAAATTTGGGGTTTCTTTTGCTTTCTACCATGACTGAACAACCCCATTTCATTGTGAAAAAATGTTCTGTGCACGTTGATTTGCTTAGTCGTGTCTTACCCAGGTTTGATTTTAAATGATGTTATTAAAACAGGTACTTCTCTATTGCTTCTCAAATTTTTGTGTGTAGCTTTCAGCCACATCTTCTACAGTCCCAGGGGTGTGACTGCAACACCCCTGTAAGTCTGTGCAGTGGGGAGCAGTTACAAGAGTGAGTCTCTAAGTCACTGAACAGGGAGATCAGCCACTTCTTAATTAAAGCAAAACGAGACTGTTCAGACAGCACGTGACAGTTTGGTATGAGCTGGCTCTGAGATGTGGCCACAGAGGAAGAGGGAGGGCGGGTCTTGCACGTGCTGTGATATTTTAAGTGGTGCTGAGTAATGGTGCTGCAGAAGTTGAGAGAATTGTGACATTGTTTATGTCAGAAGCTGACAGCAGTAAGCTGGGAGTGCCACACATGAGCTCCGAAGCCATGGAAATGTGAGAAAGAATAGTGAGGCCTGGATTATTCTTCTCAAGTGCTTTTTAAGTCAGGGATGAAGGATTGTCAAGTTTATATCTGTCACTTCTCAGCTCTTCCCTTTTGGCTGTGTCCCTTCTTTTTTTCTAGTTCACGTTTCCCAGACAGGGATAAAATATTGATGCAAATTTTCCTCTAATATTTGTTAAACAAATACAGTGAGGTAGAAAGTGTTGTTTTCTCTTTACTAAAACCTTGTCAAATTACAACTGCCTCAAAAGAACCAAAACCATAAATCTGTCAAGTGTCTTTCTGACTGGAGAGTGGCACTTCTTGAAAATCTAGAGTTGATCCAGCTGATGTTAGACTGCAGGGGGTAAAGGATATATAACAAATGTGCACAGTAAACCTAGAAAGGTTCATTGTGATGCTTTATCAGAGACTGAACTGGTTTCTAGACCTTTTCTGTTGTGACAGAAAGCTCTGCAAGCAGAAACTGGTGTTTCCACAGAGTTCTTCAGTTTTTGACAAATTCTCACTGCCCACAAAATTGAAGCTAATTAAATGTTTTAATGGCAAGCTTTTTTTAAACTGACACATCACTTGGGGTATTGCTGTGTTCCTGTGAAGAGCTGCCAACGTGGATGAGTTTTTCTATTGAAAACCCACTGGCTTTATCATAACTTCTCTCACTTAACTCTCCTCTTCCCTCTAGGTCTGGATCAAGAAATAGAGATCGTCGAAGGTGAGTGCCCAGTTCTACCAAATGCCTGTTTGTGTTTATGTCTTAGCTGCTGAGGTTTTTCCTGGGTCTCACAGATGGAGTTCACTCAGTGCCTCAGTCTCTTTGCCTTACTTCCTGAAAAAAAAAGGGAGCTCCAGCGTGGGCACCTCAGTGGTGCTGCTCAGCTTGGTGTCCCTTGTTGGGCTGTACAGCAGGGGCTGTGCAGCCTGGTCAGGACGGGGTCTGTGTGCTCCAGAGTGAGTCCAGGAATGTCCTTGGTGCCTCTTCCAAGGCATATACTGATATACTTCCATAGTTTTAATGTCTGAAATATCTGTTACATGTGTAATACCTCAGATGTGAAAATGCTGATGCAAGATTAAACCCCCCACATCTCTGGAAGAGTGTGTCTGAATTGTATGACAGCATTCTGTGTGATCATGGACCTGGAGATCTCCCTCTGGCATCCTTCTTGGTTTTAGAGCAGGTTGAAACAAATCTGCTTCTAAAGTGCAGGGCTTTCACTTAGGGAGGCTTCTCTTAGGGTTATGGTAATTTAAAATAAATAAACAGGCTACTTACTTTGGCTCTTTTCTGCTTTTACACCTTGAGTGAGGCAGGGTTGGAAGCTCTGCCCTTGGCATGTGCTTATGATAACGGTGGGAGCTTTTTTCTATAAACTTCCCAGAAAACTGTATTATCCCTTGGCACTTTGTTGGTAGGTGCAGGAGGAGGGGTGTGGGTGCTGGCAGGGATGTGGCTGGGGAGGGGCGAGCGCTGATGCTCTGGGTAGGTGTAACTCGGGAATGTCGGAGGGGTGGGCTCAGGTGTGCAGATCCCGGGCACTGCCCGTGTCCTGAGCCTGAGCCAGCCTGTGTCCCCTGCAGGTCACGGTCCCGGGAGAGGCGGCGAAGGCGCTCCCGGTCGGCGTCCCGGGAACGGCGGAAGTCCCGCTCTCGGTCCCGGGACCGGCACCGGCGCCACCGGAGCCGCTCCCGCAGCCACAGCCGAGGGCACCGCCGGGGCTCCAGAGACAGGAGCTCGAAACACAAGTATGTATTCCTGGCAGGAGTGCTTCTGGAGAGGGGAGCCCTTGGCTCACAGAGAGACTCCCCATCCTGTGGCTCTCAGCAGCAGCTGCAGGGGCCTGTGCCGGGGCCTGGGCCAGCTCCTGGGCCAGAGCAGGATTTCCCAGTGGCCTCACGTGAGGGCAGTAACTCTAAAGCAAGATCCCAGCTGAAAGGAGAGTCCAGCAGGTAGAATTGGTTCCCTGATTGCAGTGCTGAGCCTTGAGACACTCCTGGTTTTCTTGTATGAGAAGCAGCACCAAGGTCTGTCTGAGCTAACTGAGCCTCCCTGGGTCTGCAAAAGCCAAGTGACTGAGAGGCAGTTTTGATGTTACATTTCTGTTGTTACCTTCTGCTTCCCAGATTCCTCCTCTCAGTGCTGGCATGGGGAGGGAAGTGTATGATTTGGAGTCTCAGGCAAGTCTGTTAGAAGGCCGCTTGAGAGAGAGAGAAAGAAGTAATTCTTTAGGAATCAGCACTAGAGGGAGGGGAAAAGGAATCCAGGAGGAGTATACAATTCTCCTATTGCTGAGGAGAAGCACTGTAGTTCAAGGAAGGGCTTTAAGTCTCCTGTGAAACTCAGCAGAACAACCTCTGTGTTGGAGGAAGGATGAGACAAGGGTGTAGGAGTATTAGAAAAACTGAATGGAATCACTGCATTTCCTTACAGCCCTTCTTAGCCCAGCAACAAGTCTATCTCCAGGTGCTTGCTGAAGTTAGATCTGGCTGTTTTTAAATACTCCTGATTAATAGAGGAGTGCTTTAGCACTGTCTTACCTGATTAGGCCACTGGACTACAACTCCAGAAACAAACCTATTGTTGTGTGTCTTGTGTCACTTTAGCTGAGGGGCAAGAACAGCTTTTAAAGGTACCTGGTGAAGGGGAGGGAAATAATGGTCTGAAAAATAAGCCTGTTAATAATTGAGGGGGGGTGTAAATACTGTTGATTCTCCAATGGCTGAGATACTAAAGTGCTTTTTTAAATCTGTCTTGAACATGAAAAATAAAGAAAAGAAGTTTGGACAATTAGGAAGTGAGGAAGATCCTGTAATAACTATTACTAAAGAGCAGGTAAGGGATTACTTCGGAATCCTTGGTCACATCCAAACCAGCCCATCAGAGTTGCAGGGGGATTGGCACTGACACACCTGCACAAAATTGCTGAGAACTGGGGACAGGCCAGGATCAGATTAAGAAAATAAAGCAAGGACAAGAGAACAAACAGGAAAATCCTGTTTCCTGAAAAAGGTTTAGTTTCTCTTTTCACCGTGAGAATTAACGGGACCAGCCCTCAGGTTCTGCTGGTCTGAGGTCTCACTTGCAGAAAGAAAGAGAGAGTGTCACAGGATCTGGAGGTCTTGGGGTAGGAGGATTGCAGGCAGCAGGTGCTCTTGTGGGAACAGGTAGAGAGTTAATCTCATCAGAGTGATGTGTTCTGGTTAAATGACAGAGTTTAATGACAATTAAATGGCTCATGTGACACCAAAGGGCTGTAAGGTTTTGATCTATCAATTGTGAAGTATTTTCAAACCTTACAATCAACAAGAATGAAAGCTGGAACCTCTGAGGTACCTGCCAGGGCCTCTTCTTGTGTCTGTAAGGAAAAACCTGTGTACTGAGCCTTGGAGTAAAATGTGGGCACCTTTCCCAAGAGGTATGGGCTGTTAGAGCTCCCTCAGGATCAGTTCCCTTGGAATTCTGCTATTCCATAAGCTGGCATGAATCACACAAGACACAGCCTTTCAGACTGGACCCAATATGAAGCCTCCTGTTTAATTCTGTGTGGGCTGACACGGGGAAGAGCTGCTGAAAATGTGTAGCTGTCACCCGGGCAGGGCCATTGAAAGATGTACAGTATAAATCTGTGTCATCCTGATTCTGAACCCGGGATGCTGCCAAGGCCAGTGTTTGTCAGGATGCAAAATGAAAAGCCCAGGGCTGAGGGAGCAAAGTTGGTATTTCAAGCAGGTGAACAGAAAGCTTAGGGCAAAATGAAAAACCACTCTGGAAGGCACGGGCAGAGCTGAATCAGAGACAAGGGAGAAATTGCAGGTGCTTTAGTGTATCCCAGAAAACTAATAAGGGGCCCAGGGAAGACCTGAGAGAGCCCCTGGGGCCACAGCTTGAAGGGATCACTGTGAGGAAGGAGTGACAGAGGGTCCAGAGCCGGTGTTCCCTCATGGAAACCCCCCAGAGCCCAGAGCTGCCACCTCGGGGACCTGTAGGCACATTCCTGTGCTGCCCCACAGCCCTGAGAGGGAAAGGTGGTGTCACTTTGTGAGTGACTGACAGTTTTGAGCTGTGAAGCTGATAGAGATGGTTTCATTTGTGCTTCAGATCTTCCAGAGATCGGTCTTCGAGAGAAAAGTCCCGAGACAGAGAGAGGAAAGACAAGAGCTCTTCTGAGAGGCGGCACGAGAGCACAAACGGCAAATCTCGTTCCAAGAGGTCAGAAGAGAGAGAAGCTGGAGAGATCTGAACTCAAAAACGATCTGTGTTGCACTGTAAATAGTCTGATAAACATTCTACACAAAAGCCTAAATTTTCCCATTTATATTTACTGAATACAACTCATCTTTTGTAGTTTGGGGTTTTTATTGTTTGGCAGATAGCTGTGAGTTTGTAGAGAACACAAGAGTTACGTACTGTTTAACAGGGTTTTGTTTTAGTAGGAATAAATAAACCTGGATGGATGGTTTTGAGCCCAGGCCAGTGTGGACACCCTGTGTTTGTCCTGACAGTGGTTGGGGCCGTGCTGTGCCTGGAGCCCTGAGCTGCCCTGACCTTTGTAACGCTTCAGCCCTTCCCAAAAGCCCTCCCTGACCCTCTGTGAGCACACCAGTAGTGCTGGTCCTCACTTTATTCTATTTTTACTTTTGTTTATGTATGTCAAAAGAAAATCCTGATTTTTTTTTTTGCTTAGCCACCTCATTTTTATGTCTCCAGCACCTGAGTTGCCTCAGTTGTCCAGCTGAGGTGAGACAGGTAAAATTTGGCCCTGATTTATTCTGAAAGCTGTGAGGGTGACCAGATCAGCACGTTTCTGAGATGGGCTCAGGTCTGATTTTAGTCCCTTTACAGGTCAGACAGTGGGTGTGAGCAAAGCAGTGGGAGACCGAGGCTGGTTTCATCTGGCTGTTTACTGTGCACTCTGCAGCCAGAGCTTCCCCTGGGGGACTTTCTGACCTGCAGCCAAAAGCGTTGGTGTGTTCCCAAGGCCAGGGAGGCAGAAGGGGGCAGAGGTGCCTCGGCTGGAGGTGTCCCAGCGCCCGCTGATCTGTAACCGGGTCTGTGTCCCAGGAGGGCAGGAAGGAGCCCGGCTGTGCCAGCCCTTGGTCGCCATCCAGGGTCGGCGTTTTGTGGGAGTTGTGCGAGTGAAGCCCTTGTGTCCCGCCGAGCCGGGCGCTGCTCATTAGCCGGGCGGGGCGGTTAATTACGGCCGTTAATTACCGTTCCGGGGGGTCCGTCGATGCTGTGCGGATCCGCCCAGCATTCCCCCTCCCCTCCTCCTCCATCCGCGGCTCCCCGGTGTCAGTCCCCCGTGCATGCGCCGCCCCCCCCCCCCCTTCCTCTCCGGTTTCCGTCTTTTATACACCGAATTGCCGACGGTTTCACGTGTGTTTTTTTGTAACCTGCGCTCGGCGGGGGGAGGGGGGGGGCAAAGGGAAGGGGCGGGCGGCGGGCGCGGGCGCTCGGTGGCTGCCCTGTGTACGCGCCTGTCGCGTGTTTCCCGCCGCGGTTCTGAGCGGGCATTAAAGATGTGTGTTTTGCTTCCGGGCGGTGGGCTGCCCGGACGTGCGTTGTTGTCGGGCGCGGTCCCCGCCGGCCCGGCCCCGCCACCGCGGCCGGGCGGAGAGGGCCGGCCCTGCCGCGTCTGAGCGTACTTCCGCCGTGGGGGCGGGGCGATGGATGGGCGAAGTGACGGCGGGCGGCGGGTGAGTGAGAAGGCGGGGCGGGCGACGGGCCGGGCCGGGCCCGGCGGGGCACCTGGGGTGGACTGAGGCGCCCCGGGGCAGCAGGGGGGCGCTCAGCCGCCCCTGGGCAAGGGGAGGCTCCGTGCGGGCGGCCTCCTGCTGCCCGCGTGCCCAGGCCGGCGCTCCGCGAGCTGGAGGTTCGGGGACGGGAGGCAGGGCCTCCACTGGTGTCTCCGCTGCCCGCGCGGGGCCGCCGCCTCTGGGAGCGGCGGCCAGCGGCTGTGACAGCAGGGGGAGGGGCAACGCGCGCGGGGCCGGACCGGCGGGACCGCCGCGGGTGTGTCAGTGACACGGGCCCGGGCCGGTGGACCTCCCGGGGGTGTGTCAGTGACAGGGCCGGCCGGCGGACCCGTCGGGTTGTGTCAGTGACACGGCCGGGGACGGCGGGACCCGACGGCGGGGTCAATTACTGTCCGGCAGCGGCTTGGCCCCAGCTCTGGTGCCTTCCCTGTTTGCCCGGAGGGATTTCCAGCTCAAGAGGTTTCCCAGAAGTACAGTGAGAAGCCTGGGACAGAATTTAATCCCTTCTTCCCAAGCCCAGGCCCCGCCGAGGTCGTCTGACCCATTTACCCCGTGCTTGGCGGCTGCGGGGCAGCCCAGGGAGGTGCTTGTGCAGCACCCGGGGCTGTGCTTCAGTCAAACAGATACGAGAGACAGCTCAGCTCTGCAGGGCTCGGCGCACTCAGAGCCTCAGAGGGTTAAACTCCTGTTCCTCTCTCCCTCAGCACCCCATGAACCTGGTCTGCAGAAAGAAAAATGCTTTAGTGTGTTCAACTCTGACCTCATTTCCAGCGTTTTTTTTCCCTTATTTTGTAAGGCAGGAGCCTCTTGTGTAACTGCTGGGAGTGAGGGGGCTGCCTGGCCTGCAGTGGGGGGGGGACCAATCCTGCCCAGCACCAGGGCAGAACTGGGCCCTGTTGGAGGGGCTGTGGGGGCTCCCTAGGGATGGATATCGGGAGTGGGGTGGAATGACCTCGAGTGAGCTTTGCTCTGTGTATGTGTGCAAGACAGGAAAGGGAAAATTCCATTTCTTGGGGCCTGGGGGAAAGAGGTTTCTCTTGGAAGTGGCTGACAAGGACAACAGGGTTGGGAGAAGGATGTTGTTTCATAGAATCACAGACTGGTTTGGGTTGGGAAGGACCTTAAAGACCATCCAGTTCCACCCCCTGCCATGGGCAGGGACACCTTCCACTAGCCCAAACCCCGTCCAACCTGGCCTTGGACACTTCCAGGGCTGGGGCAGCCACAGCTTCTCTGGGCAACCTGTGCCAGGGCCTCACCACCTTCACAGGGAAGAAATGTCTCTGAGTGAGGTGGGAGGTCTCTGGATGAGCTGGGGGTGTCTCTGACACGGGAGGTTCAAACCACCTGCTACCCTGGCATTGTTTGAAGGGATTTGCAGCAGTCAATGAGGGGAGTGGCTTGGATCCAGTGGAGCTTCTAAGCCCTGGGATGATAAATGATGGGTGTTTCTGCAGCTCAGTTGTTGTTACTGGCCTGACCTGTAGTCAGTTCCACGCAGCTTTAATGCTGTTCTTCATCTTAAGAGTTTTGATCTTCCCATTGCTCTCATGGAAGAAGCACTCTGTCATGTCTTGCTCTTCCCTAAACTGAGTTTCTGTGTTTGAAACCCTGACTCTAGTGAAAACTGCCCTGTGGAAGAGGAGTTCTCTCCTACAAATGCCAAATGTGTCACATTCCAAGATAGCTGTACTCTGGAGGAGTTTTTAATTCCCTTGCTGTGGGGGCTCTGTGGCACCTCCTGTGTCTGTGCACAAGTGTCATTTCGGAAGGACCTGATGTTTTGAAGAGACCTGTGTTAACAGAGGCAAAGCAGCAAGAGTGAGAGGAGGGGAAAGGACAGCTCCAGCAGGAGAACCACAGAATCCCTGAATGCTTTGGGTTGGAAGGGACCTTAAAAGCCCATCCCGTTCCACCCCCTGCCATTGAAGGGACACCTTCCACTAGCCCAGGTTGCTCCAAGCCCCATCCAACCTGGCCTTGGACACTTCCAGGGATGGGCCAGCCACAGCTTCTCTGGGCAACCTGTGCCAGGGCCTCACCACCCTCTTTGGTGGGGTTTGGGTCCTTACAAAGGCTGCAGAGACGTGACAGGAACAGAATTCCCTGGAGTCAGACGGTGCAGGTGAGTCAGCAAAGCAAAGAGCTCGAGTGCAGGGGGCAGCCTGAGTGTCTTTGGGAAGGGAAATCTCATATGGGGGAATCTTATGTGTTATTTCCTCTTGTGTGGACCCTGATCTAAGTGGGACTACAGGAAAGGAAACGAATGACCCAAGGCTGAGTGTCACAGCAGGTGACTGCCTGGCGAGTTTGCTGCAGTGCCACGCTGTGCATGGGATCAAAACCCAATAGTCAGCTTGTGGAAGACAGCTGTGAGGGGAATGTTGGTTCTTACTCAGAGCAAAACTTGGCTGTTCTGTCATTATTGATTGCAGCTCGGGGCTTGCAGCAATTTCGGGTTGACAGGACGGGAACCTGTAAGGTGCTTAAAACAAACAAACAGAACGAAACCAGCCAAATGCTGTGTTTGTGTTCCTAAAATGGCCAGTCAAAACCTGATTTCATCATTCTGTGAAGGACAGAAATGTGTTGAATATCAAATCTAAGTTAGGATATACTGCTAGGAGTTTTCCAGGAAGAAGTGCTGCCTGGTGACATTACAAATGCTGTGGTTTGGTGTTTTATGGGTGGAAAATGAGTTCAACCTTCCATCACACTGATTTTTAAATGGTTTCTGTCACCAGCCTTCACCCACCTGACTGTGTGTGGTTCTCTGTGCTCGTCAGGCACAGTTCTGTCACAGACAGCAGTTCTGCCTGACTGGTAATGGTGGTTTAGCTGCACAGGTGTCACTGGTTTGGTTCAGATCAGATCTGTAAATCTGTGCTGTGGCTTCAGCAGAAGAGGTTGGTCAGTCCCTCATGAAGGTGAGTAAAGCTGTGTTTGTCCTGAGCATGGTGGTGTCATTGTGGGATGGGAAAGGGTGTTTGTTCCCCTCAGCTTTGGTCAGGGTTTGCTCCTAGCTCATCCCATGGCTGGGATAAGCAGCCTTTAGAGTTCGTGGAGGGCTGGAGCCCTGTCTGAGATGCAGATCCTGGCTGTGCTCCCTCGGTTCAGTTCAGGTCTGTCCCATGTGCTTTCTGATTATTTCCTTTTCTGCAAAGTCCTCCTGCCACCCCAAGGCAGGGAGCTGGTGCTGGCTGTGAGATCTGCTGTGCGTGGTGTGCATTCCACAGCAGCATCACGGGGTCCTGTCACTACCTGTTCCCTCGCCAGGTGCCCGGACGGGTTAAACTTCCCCGGGAATTATTCTGTGTCCTTTTATCAGCGGGAGACAAAATGTCGGCTGCTGGAGGGCAGCGGAACCATCTCAAACGCACACTATCATTTTCTGCTTGTCTTCAATTAAACTGATTACCAGACCTCTTTGTTGCTCGGCGCTCAGGCCGTCTCACACGCTGCCAGCGTGGACTTTGGCAGCGGCGGGCGATGGGATTTCCTGCATTGTTTGAATCTTTGCCGCTGACCTTCGAGGTCCTTGTTCTGGCACTGCCTCTGCTCTGGCAGGGGTGCAAAGGGCATTATTGA